AAAGCGGCGAAACCAAAGGCGGACATGAGAGGTCCGTCGGGCGTCCATTCCCCTCCACCCTCAAATTCTACTACTACGGAATTGTTGCAACTGGAAACATCTACGACATTAGAGTCTATAAAAACGGACACTAAACTGAAACCACCAACGTCCATGGAGCGTTCGTTAAATACTCCGCGTCGCGGAGACTCGTATACTGACGGCAGTGTTATTTTCAGAAACGCCACTGAGTCTTCTGCTGTTCTCCCAAAAGACCGTATGCTAGATGACCTTAAGTGGTTTAGAGTATGCATTACCAAACTCCTGCCTCCCGGCTTCCCCGGCGTGACTGTGCGCAAACTAACCAGACTCGGTAACTTTCCAGCCGACCAGTCTCACCCTCGCTTGTTGCGAGTTGTTCTGTCCACTCCGGAGGAGCGCCAAGAACTTCTGCATTTCGCCTTTAAGCTCAAGGGTACTGGCGTCATTGTGCACCCAGACCTCCCTTTGGCGGATAGGCTGAAATTGCGGGAAGCTGTGAATGATCTTAAAGCCCGCCGTGAAGCAGGAGAAAAGGATCTCCGCTTGGTGGGTTTTCAGGTGGTGAGACGGCGGTCCACTTCCGCCCTACCAGAGCCGGTTCTGGTGGCGCACGATCCCGGACTCACAATGTTAAATCCCTTCAGGTGATCTTAAGCAATGTGTGTAGCCTGCGAAACAAGCTGTGCGAAGTCGGCGCTCTTGTCGACGACTGCCGTCCAGATGTTCTCGCATTCACTGAAACGTGGTTGTCCACCGACGTCACGGACAGTGAAGTGTGCTTGCCAGGTTACGCACTGCTGAGATGTGATCGCACCTCTGCTCGGCGCGGAGGTGGCGTTGCTTTGTACGTTAACTTCGCACTTACTGTCTTTAAGACGTATAGTTTCAGCTCATCAGAGGGTGATGTTGAGGCACTCGCAGTTAACCTGTGTATGCCTCCGCGCAACAAAGTTGTGCTGGTCTATAGAAGCCACGACAGCGTTACTAAGGGGCTTGCTGATTTCATCCGCGAGCATTCGGCAAATAGGTGTTTAGTGATGGGGGACTTCAATTTTCCCGACGTTGACTGGCAGAATTTTTCCTGCGGCGCTGTTACAAGGTCTTTGTCTACCGAGCTTCTCGAGCTGGCCTTGCCTGCTTCCCTGCACCAATTTGTCGATCGGCCTACTAGATTCATGATGGGTCAAAACCCGTCCCCCTTGGACTTGATCTTTGCTAAATCCATTGATTTTGTCACGGATATTGTATACAACTCATCTTTCGGTGCTAGCGACCACGCACGTCTCTCATTTAAGTGCGCTCTTCGTCATCAGACTAATGATCATCCCGACCGAATACCAAATATATGGCGCGCGGACTTTCAGACAACGATAGCCAAAGCCGCAAAGTCGCCTTGTGTCATTTTGGAAAGTGACGACATGCAAACGGCCTGGGACAGATTTAAATCATACTTGAGTGAGCTCTCTCTCCCCCATATACCACTATCTGGTAGGAATAAAACTAGGACAAAGCCACCCTGGTTTGATTCTGCTGTACGCAAACAACTTAACAGACGTGCCAGATGTTGGCGTACTTACTTATCTGCACCTTCATTATGCACATTCAAGCGATATCGTGAGATTCGAAATGCCTGCAGGCAGTATCTACGAGGTGCTC